CCGGGAGGGGACGGGAATACCGTTTCCTTGCCACAACACCGAGGGGATGCTGGCAGTGGGAATCCCCGTCGCTGGGCTCAGGGCACCTTTCTGCTCCGAGAAATTGTGAGTTAAACCCCTCAAAATCACCAAATCCTCCAGTTCTGGCTACGGCCCCGGGTGGCTCCGGGCGACGGGATCTGGAGCATCCTGGGGATGCCAGCCTGGCATCGTCTCTCCCCGGCATCCTCCTGGGGTGGGTACCGAGGAGAAGATGCTCTGAATGTCACCTGCGGATGCGGGAAGTTGGGGACAGAGGTTGGGAGACCCCAACACCCTAATTCTCCCCACCAGCCCCGGGTGCAGTGGTGGCGGCTGCTGGGAACCAGCGCTGCTGGGGCGGGGGAGATGCCAAAAAAGCTGAGAAGAGGAGAATTGAGGAGTGTCCTTGAGCGATCCGGCTCCTCGCCCGCGCCGTTTATCCGAGAGCAGATGCCCTTTATGGCAGGAGCCCCATCTTGCCCCGATAAAAACTCGAGGCGGACGCCGGGCCGGGGGTTTGAACCCAGCGGATTAATTTTCTCGTGGGCTGCGGGGATTAGTGCGCCTGGGGCTGTTATGGGAGGCGATATTTCCATCAAAACCACAGGAATTACAGCTGAAAGGGGCTGCCTTTTTTTTTAACCCCTCCCTGAGGTATAACTTTAGTACGAAGATAAAGAAGTAATTAAGGGATTGTATTGAACTAAGCGAGAGTCGCTTACTTAGACTTAATTTTTCCTTTTTTTTCTGAGTGTGAGCTCTGCCCTTACGTAAAGCATGAGTTTCCTTAAAAGATTAAAAAGCTTTTCCCACGCTTTTCCCTCTTTCTTGTTTGTGCCGCCCTCCGCTGAGCCCGGGAGGCTCATGGATGATCCGGAGGGTTATTGCTGTCGCCGCTTCCCCGTAGGGATTTGAGGATCAGTGACAGCAAGAGGAAAAAAATCTTTCAAAGACTCCCAAAGTGGGCAGAAATGTTAAATTAAAGAGTGTGGGAGGGCAGCACGGACAAACATCGCGGCAATAATTCGTATTTAAACGCGCGGAATTCTGGTGTGAAGGGGGATGGAGCAACAGAACCCGACTCCATAGCACCATCCCTATCCTGGGAAATGTTCTGGATGCTTCTGGGTGTGGGCAGGTGAAAAATTAAGCTTCAAACTCCCAACTAGAAACTTGAATTTAATTGCATCAGATGGGTTCAGGCACCTTTGAAATTCCTGCTCCTGCCTGAGCAGCTCATCCCATCCTGCTGGGACTTGTGCCTCTCCAGCCCCCCCATTCCTCTGCACCTACAGCACCGATGGGCATCTCATGTTATCCAAATTTTTGGAGATTTACAGCCAAATTCGGTGTATTTTTCCAAAATCAGGAGAGTTGATGCCCAAAATCCTGCCTTTATCAGACCCCATCTGCCAGATTTTTCCACCCTAATGCCATTTTAACCCTATTTCCTGCTGCTTTAACTGGCTGTGATGGCATTCCTTGATGGGAAAAGCAGCTCCAGGGAATTTGCCGTGGAAATCAGGGTCAGTGCTGCGGGAGTCAGGGCTCATCCAGTCTCCGGGTGCTGGAAAACACGAGGATCCAAAATTCCCAGGTGGCAGCGGGGGCGGAGGATGGCGGGGGCGGCTGCCAGCTCAGCCAGAGACGCCCTTGTTTTGGGCTATTCCCTTGGATTTGGGAGTCCTCACGGAAAGGAGGGCTTGGCTTAGCGATGGGAGCGGTGCAGCAGCAGATGGCTGTGGGTTCACGTGTGCCATCACCTGGTGAGGGCACCGTGGATGGTTCATACCACGGCTTGGATGGCTTTTTGTGACTTGGAGAGCTTTTTGCAGAAGGAAAAGAGAAAAGTCGGAGCGAAAGCGAATTCTCAGGCTCGTCCTTCCCCGGCTCTCGTGGCCCCGTGCATCCGGAGCTGGTGGCAGAGTTAGAAACAATTTACCCACTACATCATCTATTAAGCTGCTCCGTGGGCAACGGGATGAAGAGCCGTCGCAGCCTGGTGGGAGATTCCCACTCCATGTAACGGGCTGGCTGGTGGCTCTGCCCGTTCCTCCATCAGCCTCTGTCCTCCTGCCCATGGGCCAGGTTCTCCCCTGGTGTAAATCCTATGGAGACAGGCTGAGAGAGTTGGGACTGTTCAGCCTGGAGAAGAGAAGGCTCTGGGGAGACCTTCCAGTACCTAAAGGGGCTACAGGAAAGCTGGAGAGGGGCTTTGGACACGGGCGTGTAGTGACAGGACAAGGGGAAGTGGCTTTACACTGAAAGAGGGGAGATTTTTTGATCGGATCTAAGGAAGAAATTCTTCCCTCTGAGGGTGGTGAGGCACTGCACCAGGTGGTCCAGAGAAGTTGTCACTGCCCCTTCCTTGGAAGTGTTCAAGGCCAGGTTGGATGAGGCTTTGAGCAACCTGGTGTAGTGGGAGGTGTCCCTGCCCATGGCAGAGGGGTTGGAACTAGATGGTCTTGAAGGTCCCTTCCAACCCAAACCATTCCATGATTCTGTGAAATCAGGGATTGAGACAGACTGGTGGCTTGCTCTCGGTCAAGTTGGCAGCCTTGGTTTCCCCATTTGGAAAATGAGAGGTGATATAGAATCATAGAATATCTCTGTAAGGAGGGCTGAGCACCTCTGGTGTCGTATCAGGGATGAAGCATCTCCTGGATGTGGATGATTTTAGAGCAGGGAGAGATGGTGAACACGGGTACCATGGCCAGACATCTCCCCCCTCCAGGATCATCCCAGCTCCTCCCATCCCCTGACCCTCCCTGTCTCCCAACAGCACAATCTGGTATGAGCTGCACGCGCGAGAATGGCCCTTCAAGACGCAGCCAGCGGAGGCAATAATCTGGCAGGTGGGAAGCGGGATGAAGCCCAACCTCAGCCAGATCGGGATGGGCAAGGAGATCTCGGTAGGTGGTGTGGGGCAGGCGCTGGAGCTCCGTGGCTGCGTGCGTGGAGGGAGGAACCTCCCCTGGGTGGAGGGTCCCTTTGAAAAACACTCTGTGCTGCCCAGGATCTGCCAGCAAAAAAGCAGGAAGTCCCTCCCTCCCCAGCCAGCACGGCTCGCTCCTGCTGCAGCACAAGCGTTGGCGAAGGTTGCACGTCCCTTCCATCCCGACCCTTCCTAAAGATGTGGTGACAGAGATGGGGTCCTCATGGGATGGACACATCCCCTCCACCCCAGCCCCTTCTCAAGGATGCAGTGATGGAGATGAGGTCCTCACAGGGTGGACTTTGGGTGCGGAGGTCGTGGTGGGAGAGGGACTGGCTCCGTTGGCTCATGTGTTCGCCCCGTGTGGCTGCAGGACATCCTGCTCTTCTGCTGGGCCTACGAGCAAGAGGAGAGACCCACCTTCACCAAGCTCATGGACATGCTGGAGAAACTGCCAAAGCGCAACCGTCGCCTTTCCCACCCCGGGCACTTCTGGAAGTCGGCAGAGTAAGTCCCTGCCCCTGCCTGTCCTTCTCTGTGCCGGCGGGCACCTCTGCCTGCGCTCCCCAAGACCCCACCATCACAGCTGAACAGCTGGTGTTGGCACTGGGGGAGCACAGGGATGAGTTCTGGGTACGTTCAATGCCACTTGGGTGGGAGAAGGTGGGTAGGCAGAGTGGTCATGGAGTGCTGTGCCCATGGCAGCTGTCACTGCAGTGCTGGCTGCCCTTCTTGGGGCCAAAAAGCCTGTGAAAGTAGTCGGAGATGGTCGGGAGGAGCTTGGTGATGTTCTCCACCAACACCAGGAGGAAGAAGCAGGGTAGATCCAGGAGTAGGCTGGAACCAGGACCTTGGGATATGTCCTTTGGGGACATCAGCCAGAGGTTTTTCCCTCCTAGGAAGGTGGGTTTTCCTTCTTTTGCCCAGATTAGTCGATGGTGGGGGGGGATGCCCTGCCTGAGGTCCCTCCCCAGACCTGTGTCAGCCACCGGGAACAGCACAGAGCCAGGTGGTCCCCAAATCACCCGGAACGGAAGCTGTTAATCAGCAGGGAAGTTAATTACCAATCCCTGCTCCGAGCAGGCACCGGGGTGGCTCCAGCAGCGGGGCGAGGAAGGCTGCGGGCCGGTGCCCGCTGGAGCAGCGGGCCGTGTAATTGCTCGCTGGGGTTCGGGGAGGCTTTTCCCATCGCTGAGCCACGCTCCGTCTGCCGCCGGCTCTGCCCGCCCGGCACCTTGCCCTTAATTACCGGCCCCTCGGAGCTCCCGCTGCTGGCTGGG